TGAAATAAAAATTTCCAGAGTTTTTTTATTTTAAAAAATTCTATATTAAAAATTCTTAAAAACCTTTAAAGATTTTCAAAGATTTCTCCGGAAATTTTCGAAAAATTTTTTTGAGTGGAGATCTCCAGAAATCTCTATTAAAAAAATTTCCTGATGAATGTCATTTAATCACCCTAACATTCCATTTACCAAATTAAAACATAGGTCTACGGAAATACCCTCCTATTCTTTTCGAATTATTTTATGCCATTGCATAACACTAATTTTTTTTTTTAATTATTTTGCTTACTTGTTTCTCCACACTTTTTTTGATAATAGTCCATAAATTCTCTATTGGGTTTATGTCAGGACTATAGGAGGGCCAATGTAGGATCTTTGGAACTTGACGATGAAGAAGTTTGGTCATGTCTTTTGCCATATATTTTGGGTCGTTATCCTGCTAGAAGACCCAACACAATAGCATAATTCTAGATGCATTTTCAAAAAGATTATTAGTTAAAATATCACGATAGAGCGACCCATTTATGTTTTAAGTAAAAATATAGAAGCCAATCATTCCGCATGCTGAGAAAGCACCCCACATATGAACTTTCACTAGATGTTTTGGAACACCTTTTGTGAAACATCCATTCCAGTCTTGTAAAATGCTGTTATGGTATTACGAAACATCTGAAAGGTAGTTTCATTCGAAAATATAATATTTTTCCAGTTCTGCCTTGCATGAGCAGTCACCTATTCTAAATGTCGTTTGCATTGCTTCATGGTAAGTAAAGATACTGTTTGGAGATGACTTGAGCAGTAATCAAGCTTATTAAGCTTACGATTTACCGTTCATACTGATATTTTAACCTTATTACTAAGCTTAGTGACAATTTCTTTGCAGATAAGGTATTGATCATTTTGAATAATTCTTCCTAGCACATGTCGATTTGGGAAAGTTAAAATTGTTGATTGTCCAGAATGTGAAATAGGTCCAAGTTCATGATTTTTTTTTAGTTGAATAATATACTTGTATGCTGTAGAAAGCGGAACATCACTTAATTTTGTCAAAGTCGGGGCATCGTGAACACCACAATTCCAAAGCTCATTTACGGTCTTTTGTCGGTTAGTAAGAAGGATTTTTTCCATTTTAGGATAAAAAAAAAGCGGGAAAACTAAATAGGGATGGTTTTTTGGTGGCTTTTTTTTAATTTACACATACAAACAATTCATCATTAAAAGCTGATTTTGTTAGGAGCGTATAATCAGAAAATTTATATATAGCAATTACGTGTCATTAAATTTTCATTATTTATGATGATTACTGTAATAAAAAAGCTGAAAAAATAGAATAACAAGCTTGTTTAGAAATTCTTTTAAAAAAATAATTGGTTTTCTATTTATAAATTTTATAGTTTATTTAATTTAGTTTGGATTTTAATTATATTATTTATTTTTTTCAATTATTTTATATTTAAAAAATCAAAAGGTTTTATAAAATATTTTGAATTAATAAGTATAATTACTATTTTTTTATTTAATATATTAATATCACTTTTGAAAATTCTTTTAATATTAGTTAGATATTATTAAAGTAGACAAGTTAATATTTAACTCATTGTATATAATACATTTATAAAATATTGTTTCTTTTATAATATATATATTGTTATATATAAATCAAATAAAGGATATTTATCTATTGAAAAAAACTCTCAAAAAAATAAAAATAAAATCTATTTATAGTAAATTATTATTATTATATTTAATAATTGATATTAAAAAATATTAAAATTTTATTAATAATATATCTTCTAGAATTTATATTATTATAAATAATAAAAATTATTTAACAAAAATATTAAAAATAGATAATATATATAAATAATTATAATTATTAATTAATTTTAATTAATTACTAATTAAAACTTACTTTTATATACTAAGTAAAGTTGGTTTTCAAAATAAAATACATATACAGTATAACAATGTTTTTTATAATTTTTGTTAATATTTTATATTTTATCAAATAAAAATTTAAATATAAGTATAATTTTATAAACTTGATATTTAAATATTTTAATATAGGCTAAACAAAATTTAGTAATAGCAAGTTGTTTATTAAAGCAGCAGTTATAAAAATCAAGTAGATATTTAAATTTAATAAAAAAATTAAAAAATTTTTATCTAAAAAAAAAATCACTAAACATAATAATAAAAGTTTGTTCAGATTTAATAAAAATTTCACAATAGATAGAATTTATTATAAGAAACAAGTTCATTTGATACATAAAAATTGCTTTTATTAATAAAATAAAAAGTTTAATATATGACAACTATTTCCAATTAATTATAATAATTAAATGATCCTTATTTATTGGAGGGAATTGTATAATAACAACATTACTGAAACATAAATTCAGATCTTAAAAATGATTTTGCTGCAAAATTCTTTATCGGTTTTTCAGGAATAAAACCTTGACATGATTATTTCTGACTATGTCTTTGAATAAACAAATCACATCAAATTAATATAAAGAAAATCAATATTTCTTTGTATTGTATAAATAATAGATAAAATCTTTAATATATTGAATGTTTCACATGTTATCAAAGTAAAATACTAAGGGGTAAAGTTTGCAAATTAAAAAAATGTTATATATATTTGAATTTGTTTTTCTTTCTACAGATCGTTAATATTAAATTTTTGAACAATAGAGCTTTAAAGGATATAGATGAATAGAGGCCATTGGATAGTTAATGCCAAAATTATGGAATTTATTTGAATTCGCAATAACGAATTTAGTAAAACCTATCGATTCGATTGTCGTTTTTTCTTTTTAAAGAAAAATTTATAGCTAGAATTAATAATAAAATAGAAGCCCGTACGGCTATGTTATAATTTTATTTTATTTAAGCTAAAGAATTTTCCAAAGAATCAATTTTTAGTCATATGAGTGACCATAAGATAAAAGATACAGTAGCCTTGTGAACTGGGTCAGAACTGAGAGTGTAGGTAGGCCCAGCTAAAATTTGAAATCTTTGTATTTTTTGTTTCCTGAACCTCCAGAACCGGCATCTCGAGCGGCAGCTTTTGCGTCTGCAATTTTCTGCCTCTTTTTCGCCTGTTTATTTGCATGCTCAGCGACCATATCCGAAAAGTCTTCACGTGCACCTTCTGGGAGATTTGCCTAAATAGTTTTATATATTTGTATTAAAATCAATAAAATATTGGTGAGTAGTGAATTAATAGGCTATACTTAACCTGTTGAGCTTCTTCAAATTTAGCTCTCAGAGTTTCCTCGTCAAGCACCTCCATTTCAGAAGGATCTAGAGCTACATCAACACCCGTACCAACAGCCTTTCGCTAAGAATTACAAGAGAGTAAATTGAGTACGTTATAAAACTTTTGATTCCAGAAATGCGAGAATATGTATGTAATGAAATTAAGAATCAAGTACTTTTACGCCTTTGATCGTTCCCGTCGCAGTCGAAGCATTTGTCATATCATACACGTGTTGAGAGCCCATGAATCCTGAAATAGCGGCATCCTTTTGAGGAAGAACAGTGTATAATTGTTTTGGCTCGTCTTCATCAGACCTAACGCAAGAAGGATATTAGCCAAGAGATTAAAATGATAATCGAAAAAATTAATCTGATATTTACTTGGAGTATTTTCTCAATTCAATAAAATCAGGTGTTGCCAATCCGCTCGGCAATGTAGATGGCGATGGAGATACGGTATTATTTTGGAATTTCCGTAATTCAATATATTCCGGAGTTTCCAAGCCGCTAGGCACACTGGAAATTCCGCTCGGGGTTGCAAGCCCTTCTTGTAATGCTTTGGATGCGTTCTCGTCCTCTTCCATTTCCTCTTCTTCTACCTCCTCTTCCTCTTCCTCAGATTCTAAAGGTATTTAAAAAATAAGTTCACAACTAAGTTTAATTTCTTTTTCAAAGAACTATCATACTACTAACCTTCTTCTTCAGCTTCTAGTTCGCCCCACAATGAACGCTCAATTGGTTGTACAATCTATTAAAAAAAATATAGATTAAATTTATTTCATGTACAAAGGTCATCCAAATAAATGAAAGGATTCAATTACCTCTGCCGGAATTTCTTGTTGATATGTTCCAAAAACATCTCCATATAAAGGACGATTATACTATAAAGAAGTTAATTTAGAATACCGCCGAGAGAATCTCAAGAATAAATAATTCTACCAACTATATAGATGTTTACCTCATCTACAGGAGGCTTTCCCCAGCCACCAGGATGAAAACCCCACTGAGCACTAAAAGTTTCATGAAAAAGTTAGTTTCGCAACAACAAATTGTACCTGCATGAAATTTTAATAAAGCTTACCCTTCAGGAATAGGTGCATTTAGCCCGGGAATTTTCAGGTTTGGATAACTTGGCGGAGGGCCATACCTTTGCATCGCGATAAGCCACGGAGGGGGAGCGAGCGGGGGCATGTTTAATGCTGCCTTCAATTCCTCTGAAAGTTGTCCCGGTTTTTTTTCTTTAAGTTTTGTTTCAAATTCTTTCCCTTCGTAGTACCTTTTTTTCAAAGAAAAATCAATAGCAAACTCATTTAAGCAAAAGAGTTCAAGTTAAACAAAAAATCTTTGAAAAAGAAAAAAACTTACAATTCTCCATGAATTGTTAGCTTGGGTTTTGATTGGAATCTGAAAAATGCATCGTGCAGTTTTTGATAATCGATATCCAATTTGCCCATCTTTGGTTGTACACGCTCGCGTGTTTTTTGCTTCAATTTTGCAGCATCTTCCTTTTCTTTGACAGCCTCACGCATTTCCATAATACCAGTATCCTTAATGAATTCTGTTCAAAAAAATAGGAGATTAAAATAAATCAGATGCGAGGAATTTAATTAATTATTAATAAATATGTAATACCGGGCAAATCAAAAGCAGGTTTTTCGATTCCCCTTTTTCCTTGAAGATATTTTCTTTTCTGAGACCAATGTTGAGGAACAGGAACCGTATTCCGATATGCTTTAAGGCTCACCAGAAGCTTGGGGTCAGCCGCAGTTACATCAACCCACTTTGTTTTAATGTGTATATGAAGAGATTAGTTACCACGTAAATAAGCTTTATTTGATGAGAAAAATTAATATAAAATTCACCTCGACAACCTCGGGTCTTTTTACTAATTGTTTCAATTGAGCGACACTCAACCTATTCATTTTTTTTAATTTCTTTTTAGATATCTTTTCTTGTCGATCTTCTTCCGAATCTATATTTGAATCCTCGTCAGATTCTTTCGCTCTAAATTCATTTAGGATTTTTGTTGGTTCAACGCTCTCCTCTTCTTTGAGATCTGATTGTTCCTATTCACCATTATCCCATTAAATTTAGTTATTTTATTTAAACACGATTTAAATAGGTAAAATATTCTTTAAACTTTTGATAGCTTTAACCATAAATTAAATCTTGGATAGACAACGATACCTCTATTTCGTCTTTAGAGATCTGAAAATGGGCAAAAACCTTTGTGAATTCTTCATAGTAAGGATCGTTAGCTACATCCAGAGGTTGATATACATACTCAATTTCTAATTTTTCCGAATCCCCAATTTCTGAATTCTTGTTTAATGGTAATGTTTAGTTCAATCAAATTTTTTCAGAGAGTTATGAGGAAACATGAAGAGTTAATTAAAAAACATGGTTCCTCGGAATCCTTAACACATCCACACTCAAAGGGATGTTTACCTTATCGTTATCGCTGTTCGTATTTGTAGTATGATTTGCATTACTTGTCTCCTTAGCATCCGTCTGTGATTCATTTTGCTTCTTTTTCTTTTTTCTACGTTTTATTTTAGATTGCTTTTTATTTGTATTCTTTAGATCTAGCTCTTTTTTAGGATCATCAGAAGCACCTCGAGATTTCTTTACGTCAGCTACACTATTTTCAACCTTGGTCGTTTTTTCGTTCACCATCTTACTATGCAAAGAGAAGAAATCTGTTTTACTTTACCAATTATAATCTCTGAAGATAAGATTTACGTAGTACAATCCGGAATTTATAACCTATGTATGTTATTTTAAAAAACTTATACTTTATATAACAATATGTTTTAAAAAAAGATTATTTAGAAAAATAAATTCTTTCAATTGGTAATTGCATAAGGTTAATTTAATTTTGGCAATAGGCAATTGATTATATGCGAGATTTATTTAAATCTTAATATACTGTAATATCAATCTTACAGATAGTAAATGATTAAAGTAAATGATTAAAACCATCTAGGTTCAAAGTTATTAAAACGAGAAATTTGTATTTACTATACATGATCCACGGAACCAAAATACAATTGAATATGAAACATTAGGCATCAGCAATCTCTTACGCTTTTCCTTGGATGTTGCAGATTATGTGACGACTTAAAATATTTTTTAAAAATGTAAAAAAAAATATAAAATTTGCTTGCAAATTCAGGAAAATATATAATAGTAAACGGCATACAATAACTTTTCGGTGCCAAAGGACCACGGACATTTTTTTCATTTCATTTCAAATTTTGACCCGCGTAAGATTACGATTACATAATGTGACATTCTACATTACATTTAACATAATTCTGCACTTTGTATGCAGCCAACTGCCTAAATATTGTTACAAATAAAAATTAATAGCTACATATATCAAGATAACCTCATCATGCTGTCGAGTTATAAACTCTTCTCAATTCATCAACAGTAGTTTTTATCAGGGTAACCGGACAACAACCAAATTCTTCGACATGGCGATGTATACAAGTATAGCAATACACATATCCAGACGGAATTGCCGCCGGGTTGGTAAGGACATTTTTACAGATCGGACAAATATTGATTGATTCTGGAAGCGGGATTCCTTTTGGATCGGGCTATTATTAAAAGAGAAGGAATTAAAATAATGCATTGCAAAGTGAATATGCATAATATCATGAGGTCAATTTTCACCTACCGGTATTATTTCAGGTGGCGGGATTTCGATTTCGTTATTACCACCGATGCGCTTTGAAAATTCACTGGAATACCACCATTCCAAAAATTTAAAAAAAAAGATTGACATCGGTACCAATACTTTAAGAAAATCAAGGCCTCGAGTTAGCACAGTGGCTAGCAGATATCTGGTGGCTTGGAGCCACGTCATTCCTTGAAAGTTAAACAATGGACGCGAACGATTTTTATAAAGTTCGTTCTAAGAGTGAGGTGACCGATAAGTAAATAAGTCGAATAATATGAGACAAAGGTAGGTAAAAATTACATACACGGTCTTGCGGGCTCATTCGCTGAATGTGAATCTTCATCAATTTTAACCATGGTGAATAATATAACGTTTTACCATATAAATAAAAAATGTTAAACGACAGAATCGACCCATGATACAAAGCATTCATCCACGGGTAAATGTCCCTAAACGCGCGAAGCAAAAATCGGCGTATACGTCCCATATAACCTTGCTAATCATCATAAATGTTCATAAATGTTAGATCAATTCCCTGCACTGTCATCGTCGACTTTTGTCTAACAAACCTGAAGATGCCCGTGGACGTGTTCTCGAGAAGCAAACATCTCATCCAATAATCTTGCGCCGGCACCTCCGCCAACTTTCTCATATAGATTATCTAATTTAATCTTTATATAGGGAATCCCTACCTAAATAATAATTCGTCAATTTCTAATAATAATTCCGATGGACGGGTATGAAGTAAAACCTTATTCTTTTAACTATAAAATCATTTGTTGCATACCAAGAAAAATAATGACCTCCAGATATCCACATTCCTCAATCTCTGCTGATTTGCATCGGGCACAGCCTCAGGTAAATTAAATCTTGATCTAAGTAACCTCGATCTTTTCAAACCATAAAAATTCTCGGCATATGACGCGCCTAGATT